TATCCCTCATCTCGTTCATCTGATTTGCATAAGCAGCGTTGGACCCTACCGGTGGCCACGGCCACTCGAACGTTCGTGTCACGCATGCAGTACACTTGTAGCAACCGGTCTGCGATTTCATCGACGCTGTGCCGACGACCGCGCCATCTACCCCCGGCACGAGAGAGCTGCAGCACCGTGGCTCGCGCTGTCCATGCTCTTGACCCCGCCGCCGACGCGTCACGAGCGCCGGCAAGGGCTTGCTCCGGCAGGTTCGAATTTAGGGCTTCGATATTTTGGTTTCACGTCGGTTAAAGTATGTTTAAACACGTTTTTGGTGCGACTTCAACAAGTGGCGGCCTTTCTGGCGGCAACCGTGCCACTACGCGTGTCAAAATCGGAACAGCAATGGCTTCGCGAGAGGACGCGCCGCTGCTGACCAAGTACGCGCAGAGCGACGTCGCGCGCGATGAGTTCCGTCACGTGCTGCTGCTCTCGGGCCCACTTGTGCTCACGGCCATCTGCGAGTATGTCGCCAACAGCGTCAACGCCATGTACACGGGCCACCTCACGTCCGAGAGCGATACCGTCCAGCTGCTCCTCGCCTCAAACGGGCTAGCATATCTCTTCTACGTGCTTTTGCTCTACAGCTTCGCGATCGGCGTCTGCACCGCGCTCGACGCGATGTGTGCCCAAGCGTACGGCCGCCACGCAGTCAGCGACATCCTCGTCTTGCTGCAGACTGCCGTCCTCTGCAGCGCGGTCCTCTGCATCCCCATGGCGCTCCTCTGCCTCTTTGCGGAACCCATCTTTCTTCTGCTTGGCCAACCGGCCGAGACTGCGGCCGTCACCGCCGACCTCCTCTACTACATGATGTTTGGCGTCCCGTTTGTCTTTGGCTACGAAATCAACAAGCGCATCCTCCAGAGCCAGAACGTCGTGTACCCTGCGGTACTTGCCGGCATCGCTGGCAACATTGTCAACGCGGTCGCTGCATATGGCCTCATGTTCCACACGTCCTTGGTCTTGCTACCAATCGAGTTTGGCCAAGCTCACCGTATCACTGGGGTTAGGGCTACAAGGGCAGCGCGGTCGCCTTCTCGCTCGCGTCCGCGACGTACTGCGGCGTGACGTCCTACTTTGTATGTAGTCCAAAGCAATGTCGGGTCGTGCTCATACCAACGGTAGGTGTACCAACAAGATCACTTGGCGTGGCGCGGCTGGCAGCTCTCGGAGGCCCTGGCGCAGCTGCCTCCGTTCCTCTCGTTGAGGTCGCCCTTCTCTTCGTATTGAGGTGGTCCATGCCTCATCAAATGCGTAGCTTGTTTGGCTGGATCATGTTTGTCTCGGAGTTTGCTGGCGTCGCGCTCACCTCGGTGCTCGCGGGTGCGTCGACTCGCAGCAAATGCTCGCGCTGGACCACTGTCCTGTAGGATGGCTGCCCCACTCGAACCTCGCGATCGGCTCCAACAACATTTTCCTCGGCTTTCGCCAAGTGTTTTTCATGGTGTACATGGGTCTCGGTGTGGCGAGGTACGATGTACACTATTGTCCACTATTTTATGGACGAAATCTACACTATACTCAATCACGCCTGTAGCACCGTGCGGGTGGGCAATGCGTTGGGAGCCAATGACCCGCACCGCGCCCAAGTCGCTGCGTTTCAGACCGTCGGCTTGTCGGCGTCCTGGGCGCTTTTGACCTCGGTCGTCATGGCCAGCGTCCGGTTCGTCTACCCACAGGCCTACACGAGTGACGCCGACACGCTTGCGTATGTTGAATATTGTCATCTTTTAGTCATGAGAAACTAGGCTTGCGGCGCACCTCATGCTCGTGAATGCACCGTTCCAGGTCGTCTTTGGCATTTGGATGGTCCTCCTCGGCGTCTTTCGTGGCAGCGCCAAGCCGCACACGGGCGCCATTCTCAACTGCCTCTTCATCCTCCTGCTCGGTGTGCCCCTCGGGTGGTACCTTGCGAGCACTCGGAATTTTGGTATCGAGGGCCTCTGGCTCGGTGCGTCGGTTGGCTACATCGTCTGCGCGGCGTACGGCATCTACTGGCTCTTCACCGTCAACTGGAAGCAAATGGCCCTCGAGGCACAAGCGACGCACGAAGCCTAGTTCATTTGTGTCGATAGACTATACCACGGATAAATCATTTTTCTTTGGCATACTCTTGCAGTAGAGCTGGATACGGCACCTAACGACGATGTGACACCATCCAGCAAAGCTGAACCAGCCAACACCGCTCGTCGGCCGTTGGACGACTTGTGCATCGACAACTGGCGTTGACAACTGTCATTTCAATAACTCCATGGCGTCGAGCAGGGCGGTCGGACCGACGCCTCCGAGCCGAGGGACCACCCTCCTCGCGGCTGCCGGTCGCCCACCCACGCTTTCCAAGTCGGCACTCTGTCGAAGCCGTCTTCGGTCTCTGCTACCTTCTCACGTCGCTCGCCTGCAGCGTCTATCATACGTCTTGCTGCTGTACCCCAAGTCAACGACCGGTGGTGGGCCGGCTTCCACGGGACGGGCCACGAGGCTTTTCTCATCGACCTCCTCAACACCGTCCTCGCCACAACAACGACGACGACCGCCTTTACACTGCTTCCGACGTACGCCCGCTGCGCCGTCTTGACCGACGCCGTACCCAGCTCCGCACGCCCAGCGCGTCGTGGTCGATGCGTATGAACGTTCACCAGTGCTACGTCGACTTTGCCGCGACGTTTGAAGTCGCCCATACGCTGTCACGACAAGCACGCTGCAAGCAAATGTACGCAGCGAATGCGGCGGTCTACGTGGAGGTCACCTTGCGCTTAGCGCGTCCTTGGCTAGTGTGCGCATGAGCACGTCACTTCCAGAGAAGATCCGCTACTGGGAGCGCCATTTTCAGTTGCAGTGGCAACCCGGCACCTCGGAAATCATGTTGGTTCAAAACGCGCTTGGCATGCAGCAGCTCGTGACGGTCAAGAACCTGGCGCAAAAGAGCGGTCCGTGGACATCGCTCGACTTGCGTTGGATGCCGCTCAACGACCTCGCGAACGGCCACGAGCTGAACCGACGTATGTCGTCAGTGAGATGCTTCTCACTGCAACACAAGGGGGCCCGCGATGGCTGGACGCGGCTGCTCGTAGCTCGTGCTGTTGTGCATTGAAGTTAATGCAAGGTTGTGCCAACAGCTTGGACATTAAGGGCTGGCGCATCTTTGTAGATAGATGAATCGTTTGATTGGATAGTTCATTGAATATATAGCACGAATCCAATCGCAAATAATAGTGGATAGCCCAATGCAAGAGAGTATCTACTTATGATTTAGTCGATCAGGTACTGCTACTCGGTGGCAGCGGCTTGGTGGGGTAGACGAGCACAATGTTGTCACCGCGGACGAGCAGCTGCCGTAGAAAGCGCTTTTGGACGCCGTCTGTTCGGTGCCATTGGGCCATGCTCGGTGGTGACGTCGTATGCTCCGGGGCACGAGGCACGTACCGCTCGGTCACGTCGATCAGGACGACGTTCATGTGCTTGTCAAAGCCTTTGAGGAACCCGGTGCACGTGCCCCGGATGCTATTGACTCGGCGAATGACGACACACACCTTGGCTTTGGCCTTCAAGCACGCGCGAAGTACGCTCAGCGGACCCGCTTCAAACTGATCTGCACGCGGTTTAACCCTGATCCCCACGAATGAACTGTACCTCCAATGGTCTCGAGCAGGGCCGGGCGCGCCGGGGCCACTAGGAAGACTCTCTGTCATCGCGCGTCACGACAAGAGTGCCGTACCTTTGGCGACAGCAGGCGTCGCTGGTTTGGGCTTGGTTTGGCCCACGCTAGCATTGTGGTGCGGGTCCGTCGGCGGTAGCTACTGGTCATTTGAGTCTCGTAGCAGATAGAATCGCGAGTCGTACCAGCGCCCGGCACTTGTTGAGATTGTCGAGCGGGTGCACGGGCTGCGTGTGCGGTAGACGCTCGTGCTCGCGCAGCGCAACTGCAGCGTCAAATGCGGCCGAGCGGTGGTCGCCGGGCGTTGACGGAGGTGCGACAAAGAGCTGGTAGCCGGGCACGTAGGCGTACTGGGGCTCGGGCACCGAGATGGCCTAAAGGAACGGATGCAGGTAGCATAAAGCTGGTCGAGGTGCGTACGAGGCTCTGCAGGTCGGGCTGGCGGCCGTACTTTTTCAAGAGCTTGGCGCAGAGCACATCTTCGCGGCCTGCAAAGACGCGTAGGATCTCGGGACTAGCAGAGCTCTAGCCTCCTCCTCAAGTACATTACATCCAGCGCTTACATGTTCTTGAGGTTTTCGGGGTTGTACTGCTCGTAGAAGGCCGTGATCCGCGCGGCCTTGGCCTGCGCCATGGCCTCGTCGGCCATCCCTTGGTTCTCGCGCTGCACGCTGCGATGCCATTGGGTATCATTTTATCCAATGAAATGCCGCCCGTCGTACAAGTATACAACAACATCAATTATTCGCTGGCACGCTAGCACGAGAGGAAGTGGGCGGTGATGGCGTCGTGGTGGCGGAGCAGGATCGGGTCGACGCCACTGCGTACGTTTTCGTAGAGGGTCGAGGCGTACGCAGGTGCGCGCAGCTGCCAGTCGGTGGCAAAGGCCGGCGGGAACGACAGCATCGTCGCCTTTCGGCACTGGACCATGGCAACAACAAATACCTTTTGAATCTCAACGTCAATGACGGCTGGCGCGAGTCCCTGAAGCAGCCCAAGCGCGTACAGCTGCTCTTGGTAGTCGGCCACAAGACCATTGGCGACTTGCAGCGTCGGCATGATCGGGTCACTGCGGGCCGTCGCGTTGGCGAACCGGGCCGCGACAACATCCCGGTTGGCTTTCGACGGCATGTTGGTCTTCTCGCACTTGTGGTAGAGCGTCCCGAGCGGGCCCGAGAGGTCGTACGTATAGCCGAGTCGGGTCGTATCGACGAGCTGCACAAACTCGGCGGGCACGCTACCAAACCACGTCGTAGCGTTGGCGTCCGTCGGTCGCTGAATGTCGACGGCGTCGCGGCGCAGGTAGGCGAGGTACGCCGAGTTGCCATCGAGCGGCTCGACGACGCACTTGTAATGGACCGTGAATAGCGCATCGATCGTTGCGAAATGCGACCAGACGAGCGGATCGACCACCGTGAGCGTCTGGTTGGCGATGGCCCCGCCCAGCCATGCGTGGACGGCTGGTACGAGCGCCGTCTCAAGCGCCAGCGTCATGTTCTCCGTGCTGCGCCGAAAGAGAAAGTGTTTTAGTAGCGGTGGCGACACCTCGGCAATGTAATTGGACGTGCGCCAGTCGACCCGGGGGACGCAGCACGCGTCACCGTCACAGAGGTGGTTGAGCGGAAAGCCGTCGACGCAGCGGAGGTCCGGGCGGTCGATGCCAAAGACGTTGCGACCGAACACCCCGTCGCGGACACCGCCAAGCGCCCGCGTGATCTCGGCGCAGTCGTCAACGCTCCGACACTGCGCGGCTACCCACGCGTTGGCTTCGGTCGCATAATCCCAATACGGGACGGTCACGCAAGCGAAAGCGGGCTTGAGACTCCGGAGCATGGTTTCAAAAGCCAATAAGAGGTGCCGGCGCCATAGCAACGACGTCGACGACCCGAATGCAGCCTTGTGGTGACGCGCAAAGGTCGTGACAAATGACGCGTAGTGCCCAGCGTCCATGGCCGCCGCGATCGCGTTGACGTACACGAGCCGGGCTTCGTTCGACATGGCTTGCCACGAGATGCGGACGCGCGGTGACGTGCATGATGGTGGCGACATCGCCGGCGTCGGCGCAGTTGTGTTGGGTGTCGGCATCGGCGTCATTGTCAACGGTGTCGTTGTAAGCGGTGCCGTTGTGGTCGGTGGCGTTGTAGGCGGTGTCATCGTTGTTGTCGGGACTGGTGACGTTGTTGCTGGTGGCGACGGTGTTGTCGTCGGTGTCGGCGGTGCTGTCGTCGGTGTCGGCGGTGCTGTCGTCGGTGTCGGCGGTGCTGTTGTTGGTGCCGTCGTCGGTGCAGGCGTTTGAGACGTGGGAGCGCCGGTGGCCGGTGTCGTCGTCGGAGCCGTCGGTGGTCGGCTCGTCTTTGGTGGAAAGGTCGGGAAGGTCGGGATCGGCGTCGTCGTCTTGGGCGGAAAGGTCGGGAACGTCGGGATCGGTGTCGTCGTTTTGGGTGGGAGTGTGGGGAACGTCGGGATCGGCGTGTCACTGACCGACTCGTTCACGATGGTGGACGAGGTATTGAGAAAGCCGACGAGGAAGCCTGGCGACGCGCGTTCGGCGCCTGTCCCGTTGCGGAACGAGCACGTGTCGTTCGCAAAGACCCAGTGGCTGCATCCGGCCATCGCGAGGCAGTCGGCACAGCACTCGGTCGCCAGTCGCGGCTGTGCGAAGCCAATCTGAAGCGTATCATAGTCGACGTCGTCGACGATCGTGGGGCACGCGGATGACGTCGGCTCTGCCAGAAGACGCGAGGCGATGGCGCCACGAGCGACGACCTGCCGACCGCGTTGGCTCTTGAGGACACACGTCGACGTGTTGGCATGCCACACGTACAGCGCGCAGCCAGCAGTCGCGTCGCAGTCGCTGCAGCACTCTGCCGACGTCGCCCGCGTCGTGTTGGCCACGTCATACCCAACGTAGTCGATGTCGACGACTGGCACCGTGCAGAACGGTGCGTACATGCTGCCCGCCATGGCGCCAGCGGTGTGGCTCACGTTGCCACGCGTGTGCTTGAGGTGGCAGACGTCACCCAGCCAGACGTAGTGGCGGCAGTTGGGCGTGGCAACGCAGTCCGCCCAGCATTCGGCCGCGGTGGCTTGCACGGTCGTTGCGACGTCGGCTCCGTCAAAGGCCGTGTCAGGACGCTGGAAAGGGCAGGTGCTGTTGAGCGCCATGGCCGAGGCTGCGAGCAGCAGCAGTAGCCGAGAGGCCATGAGGATCGTCGTATCGCCGAGGCCGATGAGAATGGTAGAGTGACATGGCCGAGAGGCGACCTACCTTGCGATCCCACCCTGATACCTGCGAAATGGCTCTTGCTGTGGGTGCTGGCGCCAGTCTAAAATCACACCACTGGACCGGCCATTTTCCATTTGCGCTGGCGACAGAATGCCCCAGGCGACGCAGGCAAGGTAAACAGAGGCCACTCTTGTGCACGAGGCATGGCCAGTCAAGCGCGTAGGGAATCGCAGCATGAAGCAGGAATCGCAAGACAGGCGAGTTCGTGCAAGCTGCGTGATTGCAGCGTCGGCGATCTACGAACTTCGATGTACTGCCATGGGATTGGCTGGATTAATCTCGCGACCAATCATTTGAATATTGTATGCACGATGCGCACGTCTACGGCCTGTGGACTTCGACGCGGTTTGCTTCGATGGTAATCAGATCTCAGTCTGTCGTCGCTAGCAGGTTGCCGTTCATCAGCGTCGTCGTCTGGTCAGGATCTAGGAATGAATCTGGTGCCGATCTAGTATCCAATGCTCGATTGGCCTTCGCACTCAGCCACTACGGGCGGCAGCGAGAGGCGAGCACGCTTCGGCATCCCCGGTTGCTTCTGGCGAACTCATCCTAATCCAGTTCGATCTGCCACGCACGCGCACTGACGTAGGCGACAGAGGCGCGGGCTGCACGTGCACTGGACACTCGACGAGCGTGGTGACGCTGCTCTGGCTACGTCCGGCGGCCATTGCGACCAGCGATTGCGGCTCATCCACCCGATAGTCAGGGCGAGTTGAGTGAAGATCTTACACCAAGCACACAGTGGACACGTATTGTTTTCGTGCAGCAACATGAAGGGTTTTTACGTCGAGTCTTAATTACAGCACGCCGGCAGCTTCTTCTTGGTCGGCGGCTTGGCGGTGAGGTCGATCACGGGCGCGGCCGTCTCGACCGGCGCGGGCGTGTTGCGGGCCTTGTCCTGGTTGTAAACCTCGATGATGAGGTTCTCGAACGCCTGCACGACGTTCTCGCCCGTCTTGGCCGATGCGCGGACGCCATTGACACTGGCGGCGGCCACCGCAGCGTCGTGCTCTTCGGCCGCGACGACGGGGGACCCGTTCACGCCCTCGGTGAGATCGATCTTGTTGCCGACAAGCATCAAGCACGAGAGAAGCGTGCTGTTGGTGTCGGCCGAGTTGCGCAGCTCCTAAGCAGGCGTGTGAGGTCCCTGGACGATGAGAGGTCTCGTAACCTTGAGCCAATGCGACTGAGCGTTCTCGAAGGTCGCGCGACTGCTAAGATCGTAGACAACAAGAGCGCCGGCGGCACGGCGATAGTGCCTATCGAACGCTAATGCATGAGCCATGTGAGATGCATGACATTGGTCGTACGAGCTCGTGATCGCGCGGTAGCGCTCCTGGCCGGCCGTGTCCCAAATCTGGGCCTTGATGCGCTTGCCGTTCGGGTGGGTAATGATCTTGGTGCCAAACTCGACGCCAATCGTGGGCTTGCGGACCGAGCTACTGCAAGTGGCTGTGAGCGCCGTGTGCCATTCATCGACCGGCGGCGAACCTGAAGATCTTGGACGCATTCGTCGCCACATCGACGGCCATCTCCTCTTCCGTCGCCGTAAAATAGGCGAGGAGGTTGGTCTTACCGACGCCCGGGTCGCCTACGAGGACAACTGCGCGCAGGCCATGAGCCATGGCGGCGGCGGCGACGACGACGTACCCTTGTAGAGCTCATCGTACTGGTCCATGCTGCTGCTGCCGCTGCCTCGAACTTCGTTTTTGAGTTGGTTGGCCAAGGGAGGCATTGCAGCCAATCGTAGGCACGCAGATCTCGATTTATAGCCAATCAACGAATCCAATTTTTCGCATACAACAACCAAGTCTATTTTACAATCGAGCAGCATCCCACCTGACTATCGACCGACTAAGAGTCGACTATAGTATAGCAACTTTCGACTAAATACAGCACTGTGCGAGCAAATGTACACGTACAGATGAACCTACGTTTCCGACGAATACCCTCTTGCACCGACGCACCCCAACGCCAGCCCCAACGCAAGTCACAAAGCATCGTCATGTTGAACCGCAATGGGGCCAGTTAGAGGGGTTTTCTTAGTTAGTCGTCAGCTGGTGGGACACCGCGTGTGCTATAGACGTTGCTCACGCATCCCGTGTTGTCGAGTTGGATCGAAGAAAACCGACACTGAGACCGCGGCGACGACGACCCGACACGCCACTTCCTCCGACAACTGGCCTGTCTGGCACCTACTCCCACCGACTAACTACAAGTACGCAACTTGCTAGCCATGCCTTCGCACTCAGTGTATGCATCGCTGACGGTGAGTCCGCCGCTTGCATTCCGCGACACTTGACTTGCCCTTTCCGGACGCCCCCGTAATGCACGCCAATGCATGGGGCTGCAAGCTGGGGCAGCAGGCGGTTTGAACGTAGAGTCGCAGCGCGGCTGCATACGCTGTTGGCCATTTGCCGAAGCGCGTGACAGCTCTTCGTGTGCTAGTAGGCTAGGCGCCACCGGCTCGAGGTGAGGCCCAGAACACAGCAGCGGCGGAGCTTCTCAGTACACTGTACTTGCTACAGTGCGACTGGCGGCGGAGTTCCACGGGTGGAGCGTGCGTCAACCGCTCCCACCATGTGATTGGCTTCCTCGGAAATACAGGCTTTTGATTGGTCCTTCTAAATTCGTGTCCGCCAATCCAACGATTGCACACGTTTTCCACATGGGTTTCACACAACGGTTCAGCAGAAAGGCCAGCGGCGTGTGCACTGGCACCCTCGCACTTGCCGATGTACCACGATAGCCTAACGCCACCAGCGGGCGGACGACGCGGGTGCTCGATCCCGTTCATGTTCCTCGTGTGCGCACCCATCATGGCGACCAAGATGGCATGGGCGGCGCAGTGGGCGGGCATCGGGCCGCTCCTCGAGAGCCTCCTCTCGAGCTGGCAAGTCCAGCTCATCCAGTTCATCGGCCCGGTCACTGGCATTCTCATTGCACCTGCCGTGGGCGCCCACAGCGATCGCAACACGTCGCGGTACGGGCAGAGGCGGCCATACATGTTCTTCGGCGCGCTCGCGACCATTGTGTGCTGGCTGCTCATGTCGATGATTCCAAGCATCGTGGCGGCCGGCCACCACGCGAGCGAGCACGAGCAGACGCTCGTCGCGGCCGCCACGATCTTCTGCTACCTCTGGATGGACATTGCCGTCAACGCCGTCCAAGTCGCCTCGTACCTTCTCATTTCGGACGTCGCCGGCGACCGCCAAGTCATTGCGTCCTCGATTGCGACCATGTACTCGATCCTCGGCCAGCTCTGCGTCTCAGTGTTCATCTGGACCCAAGGCCCCGCGACGGGCTACATCAAGTGGTTCTTCACGATGCTCGTTGTCTTTATGCTCTGCACGGTCGGGCCCGTCTGCCGCTTTGTGCAAGAGACGCCGCGTGAAAAGTACGAGCTGCCGCCGCCCACGCACCACGTCCTCCTCAGCTGTGTCTACGGCGTCAAGACGCTCCCAAAGCAACTCCTCGTCTTCTTCGCCGCCTTTGTCCTCACCGAGTACGGCTTCATCTCGTACACGGGCGTCAAAGGTCAATTTTTTGGCCTGCAAGTCTACGATGGCACCAAGGCCGGCGCCGACAAGTGCGGCACCAACTGCACGTCTGCCCAGCGCCGCTACAACGACGGTGTCGCACTTGCTGGCGGCCTCACCGACAACCTCTTCAACGTCCTCGGCCTGCTCTTTGTCGGCTGCCTTCCGTACCTCGTCAAGCGCTTTGGCGCACGCAACGTGTTGCTATACACGCTTTTGCCGCAGCTCGGCTTGGTGCTGCTCGCGCTTATTCATGTGGTGTGGGTCGATGTGGTACTGGTCGTTGCGACGACTTTGACGCAGCAGACCATCTATTCGCTCATCATTCCGCTGGTTGTTTCGGTGCTCGGGACGACTGACGACAAATCGCGCCTGGGTTTGTACTTTGGCGCGATCAACACGGCCGTGTGTCTTGGTCAGCTGCTCAACTTTGCCGTGACGGCGCTCGTGCTCAGTGACAACGGCACCGATTTCAGCGTCCCGATCCTTGTCGGCGGCGTCGTCTCGGGCGCCGCCATGGTCGTTATCTACAAGCTTTTCCGCGTGCGACTGCAGTCGTGGTAGCTGTCGTCAACTTATATTAATATCCGTCGTGTACTTTTATACGCGCTCTGTCAAGACAATATTGGCTGCAATGACCGGTGCGAATCGGACTCAGACGACCGAGATCTGATTCGCCGGATCAGGTTGATCGCCTTTCCAGCACCGTTCCCCGAACCCACGTCCTACAGTCGTCGCATCGACCCCCGCTTGCCCTTGATAGCGATGACAGCTCTTTAACGCAGCGCCTTGGGCAGCGTTCGTCGAATCAGAGGCGCTCCACTACTGTATCATGGATAAGATCGTACTAGTACTGCCCTTGGTGCGGAAGGTTGTCGGCGACTACTTTAGCCTCGAGAGTTCACATGTTGAGAAGGGTGCACGCTCGTGGTCGCTGTACAATCAACGGCAAGCCGCCATCGCGCTGCTGACGTGGCGAGTAAGGCGTACGGGCCGCAGGTCGCAGTGCTCGATCGCCTGTCCATGCACAAGTGTGGCAGTTGCAATGAGCCAATCAGAGTGGCCGCTGCCACCTCGATACAAACACCAAGTGCTTTTCAAAATCTGACTTTGCACTTGATCGGCCGACAGCCCACATCGTGGCATGGCGAACCTCTGGGAACTCGGTGGCGGCGCGCGGGCGACCGATACGATCGCGCTCTCGGACGAAGAAGTCGCGCTTCTCTGCGAGATTGTCGTTGCCACACCAACCGTCGACGTCGCCGCTGTCATCAGCGCCCGCGAAGAACGCCTGCGCAAAGACCGGCTGCGCAAGCGGCGAAGCAAAGAGCGCAGCCAGCTCGAGCTCGAGCAGCTCAAGGACCACGTGACCGACCTCGAGCGCACGCTGAGCCGAAAGCGCAAGGGTGGGCGAGACTGCAACAACGGCATGTCGTGGCAGGACGCGGCTGCGACCGCCAAGGCCGATGCAAACACGGCCCTCAAGGTCCAGAAGCGGCTCCAGCACGAGCTCGTCGAGCAGCTCGAGAGAGCTGTGTCCTACTTGTCGTGGCTGCCCTCGACATCGCCGCGCGAGGTACGACTCGTTGTGTATCCATCTTGCGCTCATCTTGCCTAGATGGCCATCCACCCCAAGACCCAGCCGTGGATGCTGCATACCCTCCAGCGCGACCCGAAGGCGCGAGCCCACGCCGCCCAGGCCATGATGGAGCACCAGCAGCGTCTCTTCACACCAAGCATGTACGGCAAGCTGCCCACGTCGCCGGCTGGCGGTCCCTTCAGCCTCGTGCTAGCCGACCACGAGGGTCGCCATCCTACATGGGACAATATTGCGTACTTGGAAATGGCCAAGTTTGGTCGGCTCCGCGCGCCATTCCGCCAAGTCGCCATGGCGTTTTGGTCCATGGTCACCAAACCGTCGTTGACGCGGCAGGTCAGGACGATGACGCGATCGCGTCACGCTCACGGTTCTCGCACGTGGTAGATGACCAACTTTGGCAACGACTTGGTGCTCGTGACGTCGCTCACGGCGGCGGGTGGCGCGGTCCGGCGGCAGGCCCTCGTCAAGCTCATCCACGAAGAGCAGCGCGTCATCTTCTTACAGCGCACCGTGTCGCATGACGAAGCGAGCCCGAGCTACGACAACGACCTGCACGTGGCAGCGTTTTGGGTCTTTGAGGCCGATCGCGACGGCGTTGCCCATGTCCGGGGGTATACGCAAGTAGGGCTCGACGATGGCGACAGTGCTGCGTACACGACCTACATGAACGAGAGCACGATCAACAACGCGCGCCTCAACGCGCTCCTCAGCCAGTTTGACTGCCTTGTTCTAAACTAACATGGTACCGACCAACGAAGCATGTATCAATGTTTTAATGTTTCAATCTGGCGACAAACTGGTCGTTTTACAAAAGTGACTCGTCGTCCGAGACGTCGTCGTCCGCAAACGTCATGGCGTCCGCCGACGCCATTAGCGCCGAGAGCCCCGTGAGATCTACGATACCGAAACGCATTTGAAAATGGACACATTGTCATCGAGAGGAGCGACCTTGGAGGTAGGTCTTGGACGCACAGACGGACGCAAAGAGGCCAAAGCCATCGCGCGAGTACGCCTCTCGCACCGGCCGACTGCACGCCGTGCACTTGGGAAAAGACGGGCCTTGCACGAGCACCTAGCCCTGCATGGATACCATTGTGTACAATAGGATGCGTACTTGAGAGAACGAGTGGAGGAAACCGCGGATCTGGTGGGGCACGACGCCAAGGGCCCCGGCGCTGGCCTCGGTCGCGACAGGTGCTGCCGCGCCGAGCGGTTGGTGCAAGAGACACACGAGGAGCTCAACGGCCGTCGCGCCGGCCATGGCCGCACCACCGGGCCGCGTCACTGTGCACATTTGGTCGAGGGTTCGATCCGCAAGCGAGTCACCGGGGCTCACAATGTCGTTGCAAAAGTAACACCCGAGGTCGACCGCGTCCTAGCGACCCATGTTGACAGTCACGGGGACGCGACGGCCAACGTACCGGCACACCATGACGCATGACCAAGTACGAGTCGAAACCTATAGCGCTAACATCGACGACAAGCCGTACATCGTATATTTGTACCCAAAGCCGCGTTGATGACGAGCTTTTGGGACGCAGCGGCCATGACGGTGGGCAACCACCGGCTCTCGCGCGAGTCGGTACCCAGGAAGACCACGTCGTGCGCGTCGATGAGCGCACGCAGCGCCTCGAACGCTTGTTCGTTGTCCTAGCGCCGCATGATTCGAATGACGTCGTACGGAAGAAGAGCGTACAGCAAGCGCCGACGGGCTGCTCATGGCGTGGCCTGCCATCGGAATCAAGAGCGTGTGGCCCTCGGCGTGAATGAGCGGGAAGATGCGCGCGAGGGCCTTGGCGGCGGTCGCGGCCTTGGGCTTGCCCACGTCGTTGAACTCAAACAAGGGCTGGCGCACCGGGTTCGAGTGGCTCACCTAGTTGGAGCATATTGTCTGTTGTTGCAGCGAGAAGTAGAGCGTACGAGGCCATTGTCGACGAAGGTCAGGTGGCGGAACCCCCACGAAAGAAGGTTGCGGCCGACGTGACAGCCTAGCGTGCCGGCGCCGAGCAGGAGACACTTGGTCGACGCGAGCTTGTCGAGGTCGAGCGACGGCAGCTGGCGCCAGCGCATGAGCTTGAGGTTGAGGTCTACGGACGTCTTGGCCAGCTGGAGCGGGTCCATGAGGCTGCCTAGTTGCATGCAGCGGGGTCCTTGCTTGCCCTGGACGTTGAGCTCCCAGCCGACAACCTTGTTCATCTCGGCGTCTTCGTTGGCCCACGTGACGGTTGCGATGAACGAGGCTTTGGCCACGAGCGACGCCGGCGCCGTTGTCAAGTGATGCAGTGGATCGCGAAAGAGCAAGATCGTCGCTGATGTCTACGGCCGCAGAATCATCATGTTGGAGATGTATCGGCGGGTACTACGAACGTACGAGCGACGGGTAATGGCAGCGGATCCATGCGAGGTAGTTGCGCAGCGGCCAGCCCGGGTGCTGGGGCAGTGCGGACGGATCGACGATGCCAAACAAAAGGTTGTCGGGCGCGGCCGGCGCCGATGCCAGCGACACCACCGTACCAGTCTCCTTGTCGAGCACAAACTGCATTGGGAAGTTGGAGTGCGTGACGCCATCGGCTTCGGTGCACGGGCGCAGGTCGATGAGCTGCTGCATGATCGACGCATGCGCCAAGGGTGCCTCGAACGTCGTCAGCGGCTGCCACGCCCTAGCCGTCACGCTGAGCTCCAGCGAATGGAGAGCAATGTGTCTTATGTACGTGACGCGGTACGGCGACGGAGGCACGAGCGCTGGAAAGGCAAAACGGTACCAAAACGTGTGCGACTTGAGGTCGGCAAACGTCACCAGCACAAAGCACTGCATCTTTTCGGCGTCACCCGCAATCGACGACGCGACCTAGCAGGAAGGGCCGTCGTTCCTAGGCTGCTGCAAGCAGTATGGTGAGCGGCGTACCGAGGCCCGCGCGTCGTCGAGCAGCGCCGCCTTGTCGATGGTCTTGAAGGCGTCGAGCGTGTTGGTGTTGACGAGCACGCCTGGAAGGCGCCACTCGCGCTTGGCGCGGTCGGGCGACTGCGTCGGATCGTAGCCAAAGGCCGTGTCGTCGACAATGAAGCGGGCGGGCACGTCGGCGTGCGGCGAGAGCTCAAAGAAGCCGGAAATGTCCTGGCAAGAGAGACTGGAGGCGAGCGCAGCAGAGGCAGCGCGTACCTGGCGCGCGTCGCTGAGCTGGAACGTGTTGAGCTTGAGCTCTGCGAGCTTCTGGAAGAAGGACACGTGCGGTGAGCTCGTAAAGGGCTGGAACTGGAGCATGGGCGCAGCCATTGTCGCGAAGTTGTTTTTGCGATCTGCCAGCAGGCCGGATTCAATCGTCCTAATTAGGCAAATCCGGCCAAATAGACAAGGAAAACAAGGCAAGATTCGGCGATGACTAAAATCACGCAACGGTTTTCGCTCCACCATCGATGCATCGGCAGTGCGCTTTCTGGTCAACACCTGTACAGTCGTCGACACTGAGATAGGATATGATCGTGTGCATGACAACAGTGTACGATTGCTAGTACTGGAAGATGCGCTCGTGCTTGGGCGACGGAATGTGTGCTTCTCGCTCTCACTGCGGCTAGGGTTGCCGACCGGAACGCAACGACGCGCTGCCACGTCAGTTGCCAGGATGCAGCCAGAGACAACCTTGGTACCATTCCAGTGCTTGCACGTGTGGAATGTGACGTGTTTGCTTGCACGAGTGAGATGACTTGCATGTCGAGTGGCTAGCTGTATTCAGCTGTTCATCGATTGACCGCAGTATACTGCTTCGGACTCTACCTCAAGGTTGTTTGTTTTATCGGCTCTCTCTAGGTTGTCTCTCACCTCTTGAAGACTCCATAGTCGCTGCTGCGGAAAGTGCTGGTCCAAGATGCGCGTTCGGAAGGACAGTTGAAATGTTCGAGATCCCAAACGTTGGACGTTCCGTTGACGTCGGCTCAAGAATCCTATTTGCAGTGCCATGCGACAGACGCTACTGCTCCTTGCGGCAGGGTCCGTTGCTGTCGTCCGTGGCTTCCTCGTGCCGCTGCCCGCCACCGCGCCTCCGTGGACGCCCCCATCGGCGTTGCCGCCCTGTGAGACGCGCAGCGCACTAACGATTCAATACGGCAACGTGGTCGTCGGGCGCGCATCAGAAATGCCTTACGTGCCCAAGCAACAGGTGTCGCCTCTCTCGCCATCCCCGCCCGAGTGTTTTCACACGACCGCGTAGGCCGAAGACGCACCAGAGTACACGGTCACCGGCGATGGCTGGTTCAACGTCATGATGGTCGACATTGATGCGCCGAGCCCTGCGAATGCATCCCATGCACCGTTCCTGCACTACCTCTTGGCCAACGTCGCCGCGTCGAAGGAGACGCCGACGATTGTCACGTCGTACTACCCGGTGCTGCCGCCGACGGGTGCACCCCGTCCACTCGTTTCTCTTGACAATAACGAGTTTGGATGGCGTAGGAACCCACCGCTACGTGACGCTCTTGCTCGAGCAGCGGCGCTATGCGGCCCACGCCGAGTTCAGCTTTTACCTCGAGTCGTCGCATCGGAGCAACTTTGACATGGCCGGCTACGTCACGCAGCACCACTTGTGCGTCGCCGACACCCATGTCTTTACATCATTGCCATAACCTCATGAGCATCTCCTCACGTTCTGCTTGGCAAAGCGAGATAGAAGAAGGCAGTGTATATCTTTTTCAATGATGTGAAATCATCCTCCCCCGAAATCCCCAACTCCGTAATCCAGTCTAAATCCGGTCGTGATGGTCCTACTGTGATTTACCCCCCGCCGCAAGGGGTGTTGGACCTTTTCTTCTTGGTCAAATGAAAGGAGTCTTCTCCACGTGGCAGGAGCAGCGTCCCGGACAACGTCGCCTGCAATATACCTTCTCGGCCTTTTGGCTAAGATCAAGTGTAGCAAACAGCAATTTTCACATTTTGCGTATCAGGCATGCAGCAATTCTGCAATGTTCGAAAACAGTGTATCAGTGTATCTGAAACGACATGGAGTCGCTCTTCCAAGTCGCTCCAGCCCACCGCCCCTATCCCTTCGTTGAACACGTCCGAGGTACTATTCTGCGGCTTCTCTCGGCGCACTCTGCACAAGAGACATCCTCGAATTTGTAGTGCAATCGAAACGCGATGTAAATGCTGTTGGAGACACTGTTTGAGACACTGGGCCGTTGACAGAAATGGACCAATCATGTGCGAAACAGCTGCGGATTTCAGCCAATCCGACGCGGCCGTTGCAGTATTAATAGCGGCAAGATGGGGACCCAAGCTGAAGCTGGCCAAGCGCTCCTCACTTTAGTACGCGACGTCCTCTGCTTAGCTCCTTGACCATGGCCGCCCCTTCGAGCCTCACGCTGCAGCAGACCGCGCCGTCGGTCCGCGACTTCAACAGCCCGCGCCACGGCAAGGCGCCGGCGCCTGCCTGTACGCATGCCATGGAGATGATCCCGAGCTCATGAACTCTGTAGCCTTCCAGACCGTCGTCTTCTCGCGCAAGACGACGTCGCATGGCCCGGACGGCGAGATCACCGAGGCCTTCAAGAAGCAGCAGCGCGCGGCCGAGCCACCGTCGCCGCTGGCAAGCCTCGTGCACCAGACCGACCGCCACGGCAAGCACACGTCGTCGCACCACGTCGACACCAAGGTGCGCCCAACGGCCGCGGGCCAAAGCGGCGGTATCTCGAAGCTGTTTGCCAACATTTGCTCGGCGCTGGGCTTGCCCGAGCAGCAGCAGCAGCTCCAGGCACAGATGCTCAAGAAGCAGGCGCACCAGGTCGAGAAGAGCCACGAGACGCGCCAGAGCATCGAAGTGCGCAAGATCATGTCGACGCCGTTCCCGGGCGACGAAGGCAAAAAGTGCTTGGTGCTCGACCTGGACGAGACGCTCGTGCACAGCTCGTTCAAGGTCCACCAGTTTCTCTTCTCTGTCGAGAGATTGGCATGGATTGATGATCGACTCTGTGCTAGCCGATCCACAACCCCGACTACATCATTCCTGTCGAGATCGAAGGCCACGTGCACCAGGTCTACGTCCTCAAGCGGCCCGGCGTCGACGAGTTTATGCGGGTGCTCGCAGAACACTACGAGATTGTCGTGTATACGGCAAGCTTGAGCAAGGTACGTGGTCGAAGACCTATGGGTCGTGCTCATCATACGCGGTGTCTCTAGTACGCGGACCCGCTCTTGGACCAGCTCGACATCCACAACGTCATTCGCTTCCGCCTCTTCCGCGAGCACTGCGTGCACTACGAAGGCAGCTACGTCAAGGACCTCTCGCTGATTGACCGCGACATTACGCAAAGCGTCATTATCGACAACTCGCCCATGAGTTACCTCTTCCACCCGCGCAATGCGATCGGGTGCTCGTCGTTTATCGACGACCTCGACGACCGCGAGCTCGATTCGATCTCGGCGTTCTTGACCGAGATCCGCAGCGTCGACGACGTCCGCAACCATCTGCACCGCTGGAGTCCGCAGTAGACGACGATCACGGTGTGACGACGATCCCCAACCCTAGAAACAAGTAGTCGTCCACGATTAGTAGATTTATCCTAGCTAGGCTTTTTGAATTCAGTTATTTCAATCGTCTCAGTCGATTCTCGTCAAATGTGCAACCGGCGATCCAGTCGTCAGCGACTAACGTTTTTAGAAGGGCAACTACGGATTACTAGATTACTAGAGTTGTGTCTTCAATCTGACGTCGAGCATGGCGATGGTGTACGCGTCATCGGTGATGGTTTGCCACAGGCAACCAATCGATCCGACCAAAGTTCTAGAAATCTCGGCGCCGTTCTCGAACTTGTCTCGAAATTCGATGCCGAATGTGTCCCTTTCTCTCCGATGAAGCTGTGCTGTCACTTTGAAATTTACTACAAATACACTCTCAGACATCAAGCGCAGCATGAGCCCGATCAAGAAGCACACGTCCAACGACCCACACCTCGTGTCGAGCAGCTCCAAGTCCTGCTTTCGTTCGTGGAAGCGGCGAGCGTACCAAACGATTGAGCTCGGGCCCGTCAAGCGCTTGGGCGTCTACCTGAGTGGCCGACGGCAGGTTTCACTGACTCACGAGCACGATGCAACAGCGTTTGAGCACGAGAAGGGACATTGATTCTACATTTGCTCACGAGCCCCGCGCCGCCGCCTGCGCAGCCACGGACTGACGAGCGAATGAAGAAGAAGGAGATTGCTGTCTCTCCGAATGCGAAGTCTTTGTGTAAGTACAAAGATAACGCAAAACATGTTCATATATATATATATATTTGCTAACGAGTACGTGTTCCCACTGCGTTGCCTGACTCAGATTGCTATGCAATTTCAATATATATATATATGAACGTGTTTCGCGTTATCTTCATAGTTACACAAAGACTTCGCATACGTAGAGACTAGCAATCTCCTTCTTCTTCATTCGCAATCTCAGTATTACCGAAACCAAGGGGCGACTCTGCAAGGCACATGGGATATTGTGGTGACGTGGCACCCGGACGGCTCACCTTCGTGTTACCATTTCCATTCGACCTAGCGTCGCTGCCTTGACGACGCCGACGGGAACGCGGGCGGCTCGTCCTTATGCAAATGCACGTGGTATGACGCTTGGATCTGGTCAAAAGGCGTGGCTGGACCGATGCATTTGTCGTCTCGCTGCCCCCCCCCCGCTTGATAATATTTCAGCGACACCCGGGGGCCCACGGGCTTTGATCTTTGTACAGCTGACTGCGCGGCAGGTAGTACGACGTGCGCGTGATGCGACCATCCTTCATCTCGAGGACGCGGATCGTTTGCGAATCGTTGGTGCGCCAGCGCTGGATCCAGTGTGGAAGCAGCGCGTGGGCAAGTGTGTACGGGACGTTGTTGACGCGCGTTATGTACAAATTGGAAACGCGCAGCATGTTTTTCATGAGCAAAATGCCAGAGTCGACAATGACGTGGCGTCCGTCGCGCGTGACGCAGCCCCGGCAAGTCTTAGCGATCGCGCGCAAGTCGACAATCTCGAGGTACGTCAGAAGCGAGTTGTCAGGGTGGACGCGCACCTCGTCGAGACGACTTCGCATGTCGAGATAGATCACGCCAATCGCAAGTCCAATCACGCCGCTGGCGACGACCGCCGAGAGGTACCACGTGTGCGCTATGCGACTGTAGCGGAAGCAGTTGGTCGACATGGGCAATGTACACGTCGCTGCCAGTGGATCCTGTTGATACGGAAACACAAAGCGTTCAAGTACAAAGATAAGAGCCCAGTTGAGGACGCTAAATGCGCCAAGAAGCCATGTTTGGGTCACGATACGGGGGGTAAACCACAGCTGCACGAATTTGCCCGTGACGATTCCCGCGACCGACGCCGCTTGCATCGGACCACAGAGCGCGAGAAGCCTCGGCCAGAGCGTCGGCGCAATGGCATTTTGAACCAAAAAGGTCGTGACCACTTGAATGTTGTCGTTGCCATAGACTGTCATACCGACAAGTGCCAGTCCGAGCACGCTTTTTGACATGTAGACGGGCGCGACACAAATGACGCTGTGCCGGAGATAGAGCCATTGGAGAAGACTGCAGTAGAAGAGCATGCACCACAGAATGACCGCGTTCGTCAGCATGAGCGAATTGCAGGTCCAGAAGAGCGTCATGTTGCCGCTGAGCGTGAGCCGCCAACCGAGCTGCGACGTCATATCATACAACGAGCAGTCCGAGACAGCAAATAGGTCGAATGGTGCCGTGTGTTGAAGGACACCACCTTGAAACTCATCGACCGACGGCACGGTCGAGAGATGGACGGGTCCGTCGTTGCCGCCCGTTAGCAGCGCGCTGTGCCCAGCGTTGAGAATAATATCGGACCGAGCCACCTGCCCCAAGAACGTCACATGGCCGTGGTTCATACTGTAGAGCCTCGTGCTACTGTTCATCGGGCCACTGTTTTCACACACCCAGTTAGGATCCCGCGGCCGGATGGCGCAAAAGGCGAGGCTGTCGACGCTGCTCGCATTGGTCCCGAGGTACGTGTAGTTGGCGCGTCGCAGAATGCAAACAATCGCGTCGTCTGCCACAGAGAACTGCGCGAGCGCCTTGTTCCAGCCGCTGAGATTGTTGATGTGATCAATGCGCACCAGATGTGGTCGAGGCGTTGACCACAAATCGACGAATGCCGCCCCAAGAATGCTCCACACCGCGATGGTCAGGGGCATATAAGCGTCCGCGCAGACGCGGTCTTTGAACCCGCACCGGGCGTACACGAGCGCACTGAACGAGAGCGTTTGATTTTGCGGTAGATCGAATGTCGACATAGTCGTCTGACCCCGCAGAAGCGTGTGCACGGGGACACTCCACGCCGGCGAGTCGAGTTCGTGCGAGAGAAGCCCGAATGGCGTCCAGACGTTGGCGATGCTTTGGAGCGTATACGTGCAAAGCACCACGATGGAGGCCAAAACAAAGTAGAAGAGACCGAGGACGAAGCCAGCGCCAAAGCTCGGAACTGGCGACAAGTGGCGTAGCGCCGGCCCGAAGAGCGATACCGTGCGCGCCAAGAAAAGCGGCGCCGGGGCCACGCGCATGAGAAGCCGTTGTGATGACCACTGCGTCATAAATAGACGTTCTGACGTGGCAGCACGAGGTCGCACGAGACCCTGACGCGTTCTCCAAGCCACTGCCGACACAAATGTCAATCTCGCCATCGAATCCCTCGACATGGCCCTTTATGAGTCTAGTTGGGGAGCTAATACGCGTTGCAGTTATAGTCTTTTACTATTTCTTACGCGGGTGGCAAGTCCTGTGTATATTGGTCCACTTGGGCAAGAAAGGCGTCGAGTTTGGCGTCCTACGCATCGATATATCCCTGCAACTCATTAAATTGAGAAAGCAACCGGCTTGAAGAGACTTGACGCGAGGAGCTGCTGTGTCTTGTCGTGCTCGGTCTGGTGCCACTGCTGCAAAAGGTGTTGGATCTCGCTCTGGTGGTCCTCCTTGAGGCGCTGGGCTTCGATCGCCAGCGCGTCCCGCTCCTTGAGTGCCACCTTGTAGCGCTCGTGGACCTCGAGACACTTTTGCTTGTACGCGTCTCGTTTCTACTGCAGGGGGTGACCCCATGTATCTATACGTCATAATGCACCTTTTCTGCCTTGTGGAGGGCGTGGCTGAGCTTGGAGACGTTGGACTTCAAGTCGTGCTGCAGACTTCGGCGTGCCGAGAGGGCCGCAGCCACCGACTCGTCGAGCTGCTGCTGGAGTTGCTGCTGGACGCGGCTGCAGTGCTCCTTTTCATTCTGCATCGTCTTGGTGAGCTGGCTCACGTCGTCTTCGAGGTACTCGATCTACACCACAAGTTATCCATTCATCTTGTCCGATGATGTATCGTACCTTGGCTTTGTACTGCTCGAGGATACTTTGAAGCTCCTGTTGGGTCTCCAAAGCGTCGCTATATAGAACATAGCAACCTAAACGATCATATCTCGCATCGATCTACCGATGCTTGGCTTGCAGCGCTCGGTACTCTTGCTCCATTTCCTTGTGCTGGGCCCGCCACGTGAGTGTTTCTGCCTTGAGTTTGGCCACCTGCACGTCCTTCGTTTCGTATCCCGTGGCAGGACGTGCATACCAGTTCTTGGTTGGTGTTGTACTTGAGCTGCAGCGACTCCTTCTCGCCTTGAACTCGCTGGCACTTGAGTTGTTCTTGCTCGAGATCAAGTACGAGCCTTTGTCCCCGGGTTTCGAGGTCCTCCTGCAGCTTGGCGACCTCGAGGTTGCGCTCACTGAGCTATGCATCTCGTCGGACCAACTCGATGAAATAGGCGCCTAACCTTGGCCTCGAGCTGGCTCAAGGACTCGGCTAAATGCGTGTGGTCATTGCTCATGACCAGTTGCTGCCGCGCCGACTCGATCTGCCACTCCTTTTCGCGTTTGGCGTACGCGGCCTCGAGCTGGTCGAGCGCCTGCTGCACGTGATGTATCTTGTCGAGGTACTGGGTTTCCTTCTCCTTGAACTGAGTCGTTTCGTGCTCGACGTCGACCCGGAGCTCGCGGAGCCTATGTCCCATTGTCATGTCTGAGGTGTGGAATTTGGCGAGTGGACTTTGTGTTGTAGAGCGTTTGGTTGTCCAGCAGGGCAAGGTCTTTTTGCTTGAGCTGATCACGCACCCGCGTGGCGTCGTCGTGAGCGTCCCGCAGCTTCTTTTGCAGCTCATCGCGCTGGACAGCGCATTTCTCAAGCTCGTCGGTTTGCCGTTGGTTCTAATACCGAGACCGTGGGTTCGATTCTGTGCACGAGGTTTGTACCTGGCGCGTCAACGACTTGAGCTCGAGCTCGAGGTTCGTGCGTGCAAGCGTCGCGTCGGCGATCGACGCGTGGAGCTTGGTGGCTTGCACCTCGGACGAATGAAAGAGGTCTTGTTTCGCGGTGCGGAGGTGCTAATGTGCGTAGGGTTAGTCAACAGATCCGGTACAAAGAGGTACTTCGAGTTCGACACGCAACTTTTGGTTCTCGAGCAAAATGGTCTCGCGCTCTTGGTCCAACTTGCGCACGCGCTCGACCATGGTCATGTCCTCAGCTTTCTCTTCGGCAACCTCGAGCTTGCGCTTGAGATCCTGCGTCAGAATGGTGTGCGTCGCCATCAAGCTCTCGAGCTCGCTGCCCTAGCTCCCATGATGCTACATACGACGCCGTGCGCCATCGCCATACATGCTGCACGAGTATCTGCTCGTGCTCGGTCTTGAGGATCTCGTAGTCGCGCCGGGCGTGGAAGAACATGTCTCGGAACTTTTCAATGTCCATCTGCAGGCTTTGCACCTGCGTCGCCAGTATGAGCGCCAAATAGCGAGGAATCGCGGTACCCGTTGGCGGTGCGGCAGCTCGACTTCGTCTTGGATCTTCATGCGCAGCTGGTCGAGGTCTTTGGGCGGCGCGAGGCTCTTCTGCAGCGCGTCAAACTCGCGCGCTTTGGCTTCGAGCTGCTGCTTCCACTTGTGCATGAGCTGCTCGTGCTTGCGGTCGGACGCGACCTTGTGCTCGGTCTCGTTGAGCAAGATGGCATGCATCTTGTCGCACTTGTCTTCGGCGCGCTCGAGCTCGTGCTTGAGCTACGGCGAGCGTGACGCGCTGGCAGCGCCTTGGAGCTACAATACCTTGTCGCTGAGCTCTTGTAGGCCGTCGCGCTCCGCCTTGAGCGACTGGCTCATGGCCACCGTCTTGTGCAAGTCCGTGTTGAGCTGCACGACTTGCTGCAGAAGGTACTCGTACCGGCCCGGCGCGGCCGCCGGCTCGGCCATGGTCGTCGCCATGCCACGATCTTGTCAAGCGTCGTTGGATTATCCGGAAGGCCGGATACAGCACCGTTGGCACCCACTTCGATCCTCGCAGTCGCTTTCGTCAGCCCATGGACGGCAGCACCAGGTAGCCCATCCCGTCAACTCCAAGATAGCTTTTTGTACTGGGATATGATTTTAGTAATGCCATTAAACATATTGAGTGACAATATTGGGCCCTTGTCGAAGGCAGCCTCGTAAGCGAACCTAGTCAACGAGAAATGGTGTTACTCGTTTCAATTGATTTATTCGCTGTCGACGCGTTGTGAAGTCGAGCACTATCTATAGACAGGCACCACTTAGCTTCACCACATCTCTATCGTGGCTGCACTGCCTTCAGCAATGGCGCAAGTCGTTCTCAAGCCGTACGGTACGAGTCGCATGGGCGTCAAGGAGTGGCAAGTGGCCGAGTCGACGTCTCTCGCGCTCATCACCGATGGCGTATACACCGCCGCCATGTTCAACACGAGTTTGGAAGAGCTCAACGTCGAGTCCAAAGCGTACATGATCCATGGCACCCAGCTCATGCGGAAGCAGGTGCACTACCCAATGTGCGCGGCCACGGTGCTTTGCTTTGCCGGCATCGCGCTCGGGTCGTCCTTGTCGCTCACATCAGCGAGCGACGAGGAAAGCGGCTACAGCCCCATGGATGGGATGGCGCCGATGGTCGCCCCGATTCTCGGCATGGTGCTCTGGACGGTCGCGATCTGCTTCTTCATGCGGCATGCACGCAAGCTCACGCGGCAGCTCAAGGAGCGCTTTGACTCGTTTCTCGCCCGCATCAACGCCCGCGATAGCTCGTACGGCGTCCAGTGGCAGTACCGCGAGATCTACCATCAGGGAGCAGGCGACGACAATGGCTACACCGAGTACGAGATCGTCGTCAAGCGGGACGTCGTCGTGCCCTTTGCACTCGCCGTCAAAGTAGTCTCGTAGTCTTCTCATTGCTGTTGAAGTGGCTTCTTCATCAAGCTAGATAAAACGTCGCTACATAAAATGGTTAAGCTTTTCTGTGGGCACGCGGTTGAGACACTTGATCTAGACAAGCGAACTCGTGTTGGGCGAGGAGCTGGAGAAGCCGACGAGGTGCAGGCTGCTCGGGCTCGTGTGCGAGGCTGTGGCTGTAGTCTCGTCGTCTATTGTTTCGACAATAGAGTAATTCCTCACTACGTATCTTTTCAATCAAGTAGTGTTTTTGGTTCTTGAAGTCGAGCGGTTTAGTCACTGGTATACCACCAGGTAGAACCGGGTTCAAGTCCCGGAGATAGCCCGACTACCTAAATTTTTCGAGAGATCACCGATGCAGCACCACGAATTTCTACTTTAGCAGCCGATCGAGAGATACGAACGCTCTACCGTGTAGTACACGTTAGAAAAGCTGGAGACGACAGCATGGCATCGGTCCGCAGATAAAGTGTAGGTCCATGGGCAGGTGAGCGACCTACTAGACACGCGGTGGGTCACCCGAGGAGTTTCTCCTGCACCCATCGAACGGACCGGAGCAGTTGCCGCCGAGTTATTTCAGGCTGCTGGAGCTTGCAGTTGGTTGCACCCGACTCCAGTCAACTCGAGGTAGCCATTTCAGTCTCCAACTGGCCGATGGCGCAACTGGTCCTCAAGCCGTACAGCTCGGGCCGTCTGGGGTGGAAAGCAAGCGGTCTTGGCGTCAAGGAGTGGCAGATCGCCGAGTCGACGTCCCTCAGTCTCATCACCGATGGCACATACACGCCTGCCATGTTCAACGCCAGCTTGCAAGAGCTCAACGCCGAGTCTCTGCTGCACACGACGCGGACCATGTTGCTGATGCGTTTGCAGGTTCAGTGGCCGCTGTGCGGCGTCACGCTGGGCTGCTTTGCGGGCACGGGCCTCAGCATCTTGCTACCATTGGCTTCGTCCTACTCGGACGAACGCGACGGCCCCAAGCCGCGCAGGATCATGGTCGTTCCCATTACATGGCGCGCATCAACGCCCGCGACAATTCGTTTGGCGACGACAGTGGCTACACCGAGTACGAGATCGTTGTTAAGCGGCTCGCGTTTGCAATTCCCATCGTCAAAGTGGTTTCGTGGGCGCACGAGACATATTGTCGTATGCAAATGGACTCGGATAAACACGCTACGGTTGAAGCGTGCACCTCGACTTTGCATATTTAGACGAGCAACCTCCTTTTTCTTCATTCACTGGCCTCTTCTGTCGTCGCCCGGAGCGCTTGTGGCTGCGAGTGAGGCCCATGACAACACATTCGGGTTCCGGCGTTGCCGTCGGCGGTAAAGTTGCGCAGTTTGTTGAGGGCATCCAGAGACGCTGGTGACGGAGTGCGGCCTCAGCGACTGGAAGTTGCGGTGCAGGACGACCGGCACCGTGCGCTTGGTGCGGCCTAAATTGGACGCCTCGGGGCAAAGGAGCAAGTGGCGGCTATGTTGGCAGTCGTGTGTTGCTGACCCAAACCATGGACGATGCGCCCGGCGTCGAGCAACCAACGCAGGAAGCGATGACTTGGTCGCCAAGAAAAGAGACACTTCTTTGGGGCCCACAAACTTTCAATCCGCGCTCGAATGCATCGACAAAAAAGGTTGTATGCATCCAGTATATTTGTTATATCAATGTATCTAGTAGCTTATGTACTAACGACATCAGTGCGTGACAGTGGACTGATTGCGCGAAGAAGTAAATCCCATCTGATAGACGCCCTTACTGTCGTCGTCAATGCGCCGTAGCGACTCGTAGTAGGAGTGGCGCGTGATCTCATTGGCTCGGAGGCGCACCACGAGCATGGTTGGCATCATTTGTGCGACCCAACGACGCATGCCTGCAGGCACGAGCCGATAGAGGAGTGTGTACTTGGCATTGTCGATCCGAGTCAAGTGCGAAGAGGAGACCCGCAGCATCTTCTTCATCCCCAAGACACCATGGTCGATGACGATATCTCCATCAAGAGTACGAGCGACGCAGCCGCGGCCCGATGTCGCGGTTTGCCGAAGTTTTTGAATGTTGAGGTACTGCAGCACCGAGTGGCTTGGCGGCACGAACACCGTCTCGGGGAGCCAGCGCGCGTGCAGATGGATGGTTCCGACAGCAGCGACAACGACGCCACCCGCCACAACCGCCGAGAGGTAGTACGTTTGCGGAATTGCGGTTAAATGGAGGCAGTTGGTCGACGAGGAGTAGCCGCACCGTCCAGGGACCGTTTTGTTTAAAGTTGGAAAGACAAACGCCTCCAAGGCAAAGACCAACACAAAGTTGAGCAGCGAGAAGAGCGTGAGCAGCCACGTTTGAGTCACGATGCGCGGGGTAAAGCACAGCTGAATGAACGGTCCCGTCATGATGCCAACAATCGACGCGACGAGGGCCGGCCCGCAATACACGAGGAGCGCTGCATTTGTCGACTCGATCTTGTTTTGCACCAAGTAGGTTGTAAGTGTCTGGAGGTTAGGGTTGTCCCAAAACGTCACAAACAAAATCGAAAGCCCCAGAATGGTCTTGGAGAGGCACACGACCACGAGGCTAATGGCACTCGTAGGCGCAAATGCCCACTGGTGCACACAATAGTACAAGACGGCGCACCAGAG